GAATGCAAAAATATCCCACAGCGCTTGTTTCTCCGAATACGCTTCTGTCAATATATATATATATATATATATATATATATATATATATATATCGTAGGGGCAATTTCGTGAAATGGATGTTAAATATCGCGGATGCTTATTTCACGGTTAAATTAAGGTACGCGATTCATCGATATGCAACAAATTAAAACAAGAATATATATAAATGCCAAGCATATATTAAATTCTCTAAAAAAATATATTAAATAATAAATATCTAATTTTCCTGTTGACGATAAAAATCGCATATTTTTTACGCGCTTTAAAAATGATTAAAAAATAAAAAAACCAATTATGAAATGACCAATTATGAAAAACCAATTATATAAATAATTGGAAAATGTCCTGCATGCAATTGTGAAAATACATTTGACCAAATATACGAAGGCTGTTAGGAGAATACGCGCTGTAAAAAAAAATATGTCAAATTTCACTTTATTATTTATATAACTTTACATATTTTCATGTAATATATTACATACTTTTTTACAGTGCGGAAAGAAGAATTGGGGAATGACGATGTAGAGGGAAGTAAAGTCGGGAATTTCGAAATCACACATAGTGCAGTTTTCACCTCCCTCCGGAATTCAGGGTTAACGAGTGGGCGCGACGCGACGACTGGAATAATAAGGGCGGTTAATAGAACGGGCGTAACCGCGCTCTCACCCTGTGTTTATCTCCGGGCTGCAGCGACGTTTCCATTTCGGGGAGTTTTCGGGAAACAGCTCACGAACCAACGTTTCGGTCGAGGCAGATCTTGCGGAGCAGCAGCGGCCGTTCAGAGCTCCGGAGACTCTGGTAGACGTGCGAGCTAATTCTGGGCGCGGTTTCCTCCTCCGTTTCGCAGGAAATAACGCGAAGGGGGCCAGGGATCTTTGTGGGGAGGAACATTTAACGCGCTTAATATCTCACGATAGGTGTCGCCCGCCCAGACGTTTCCGACGCCGCCGCAACGATTAACGCGTGTGTCACTTCAATTACTTAAACCGTCCGAATCCGCGTGTGAGATCTTCCCCGAAAACTGCATCAGCATCTGATATAGTCTGCGGTTGAATTTCGTTGTACGAGCGAGTGAACGAATTAATCTCACGCGAATTTTGAATTTACGCTCGAATCAAGCTGTACAGGATGAGCTGACAACGAAGTGAAAAATGTTGTATCCGTGTAGATCCTATTTTAAGCTTGCACTCGAGCACTCTTGGCACTCTTGTTCTAATTCGTGTATTAGAATTTTATTTTCCAATAATAATTGGTAATTTGATACAATAAATTAATTAAATTAAAACTTGATAAAAATTAATAAAATAATCTCTCAAGCTGTCAAATTTTTTTATACTTGTTATAGAGTTTCCTGAATCAAAGTTTGCGTATTATAATTAATTTTAACCTTTCTGTCAATGTCTAAATTTTGCATCTTTTTTCAATGTATGAGCAATTGTATATTTTTGACACATTGCGATAATTTTTTGATAGCAGCTCTCGAGCATCGAACATTCTTTCGTTATATTTTAGGAAGTTTCAGAATACAAATACCCTTTCTTTCGAGCAAAAAAGTTCTGACACATTTTTAAAATTGCAAAATCAGATATGAAAGAAACTAATAAGAGCCCGATGCAGAAAATTTGTTTTCAAATTCTCTTCTAATTATTTTTCCAAGTCAACTTGCTACAAACGGTCCAAGAAAACAACCGAAACATCAACAATAATTAGGGAAGAATTTAAAAATCAAATTTGTTGCGCCTGGTTCTTATCAACCTTTTCCCTACCTTATTTTTCATTTCTACCAAAGCCTTATTTGACTTGTAATTATTTATTTAAAGTTGTTTAACCTAGTTAATTGGCAAAAAAGTGAACCCGATCTTTACATATCTCTCCAGACAACTGACAGCTACATTATAAAGACAGAGAGAGAGGGAGAGCGATTTTACTTCCATGAAATTTAGATGCCTAATGGATTCGAATGGTTGCTGCGGGGGTTGATATTGATTGCTCGAGCTACTAATACAACGATATGGGGAGCCATAGGAGTGTATATCGACGGATTCCGGCGCACGCGAATGTGTGATCCGTATTGCGGATTCCGCGCATTGATGACGCGTTACGCCGTTCGCAAGCCGCAAACGCAACGCGCCACTGAATAACTCCTGAGCTCTCTCTCTCTCTCTCTCTCTCTCTCTCTCTCTCTCTCTCTCTCTCTCTCTCTCTCTCTCTCTCTCTCTCTCTGTGTTTACACCGTCCTGATGATTAATTCATGCGCGTTATCCGAATGCGGTCCGCGTTTCGTTGATGCCCTTGCTTTCTTGCGCGCTCGCGCACGGTACGAACGACGTGTAACGAAATGACTTCGTTAAATTCATCGAGCACGTGCGCGTAATGGCGGAAACTGGGAGCGAGAGAGCGGATCTCTTATCGTTAATCAGGACCGCCACCCTCCGCATTGGATGTTGCCCCGCAAAATTCTGCAGTTTTATAATGCGGATACGCGCGAAATTTCCTCAATTAATTTCATCAATTTCTCTCTCTCTCTCTCTCTCGAGATGTTTTTCTTCTTCGACGAGCGATTATAAAATAAATTATTTTTTAGTTCTCATATATACGAGAAATGGCAGAAAAATATTTTAATCGCTTCAACGAGAGACATCAAAGACTTTTTATCGACTGCTCTCTCCGCATTGGAGGTTGCTTGAAAATTCTGTACCGCAATTTTATAATGCGGATGAAATTCTTCTTTATACAATTATAAATTGATACTTTTTTACTTTTAATATAAGAGAGAAATGACAGAAAAACAATTTCAATTATTTCAACAAGGAATGTTAGATCAAAGATTTTTATATTATCTGTTAATTTGCTAAATTTTTTCGAGATAATAATATATATTTAAAATACAGAATTATATATAAAAATTAAATAATTAATTTTTAAAATTTTAATATAAGAGAATAAACGAGAGGAAAAAATTCAAATCGTTTCAACAAAAGATATCATCGGATCAAAAACTTTTATATTGCTATAACAACTGGCGCGCCTGTTTAATTTTTTCCTCGCAAACTGTTTTGCATTTTACCTCTTCCGTGCAACGAAACGCAACTTTTTTATGACGATCATTAATACCTGATGGAAACGATTTTTCCGCGAGACGGAATCTGCCCCCATCCGCCGATGCGGGATTCGCTCCGATAAGGATTAGAGAAAGGGTGAGAAGATTCCTGAGGAAATGTTCGGCGGGAAGTCGTCGCCGGCGACAACGACATTTCAACTTTCTGATCGCGCGATCCGCCGGTAATTCGATTCCCGTCAGCCACTTTCATCGAGGCGCGTTAATCGACCGGCGCGGATTTCGAGCGGAGACGCGAAAAAAGTGTAGAATTCGCGCGGCGACAAACCGGCGAGCCCTCCCGACGAAGAGGAGAGAGAGCTCTCGTTTAATTTATGAACGTGTAATTAAGTCAGCCGCTTCTTGCGAGGCGAGGTCAACCTACCGAGCAGATCCATTTACCCTCTTGTCTGCCTTTCCGTCTCTCTCTCTCTCTTTCTTTTTCTCTCTCTTGTTCCGAAGCCGCGACGATATTACGCAACTTCTCCTATCGTCGCGGAATTTTGCTTTCACTTCGTAAATTACTTCCGAGTCATTTCGCGTGGCCTTCCGAATGTCATCGGTCGCGATAAGCGGAGAAAGCGAATATCTCAAACTCGAGGGCTCTCCATAATACGAACCAAGCATATGCACCCGACAGTTTTCCACCTGATGTAAAAAAAACCATCGAAAAATTATCTTGCAAAGAAGCTTGCACAAATTCAGAATCATGAGATATTTATGATAAATTGCGTAAATAAAATTCGATTAAACATTTTCGTATATGTATAATAATGCGCTAACAAATAAAGTGCATTATTATGCAGTCGACGCACTTTCTTCGAAACTCTTAAAATTTATTTTTATTTTATTATTATAATTTATTTATCATTATTTTTTATGATTTTCGTTAATTTTTAGTTTTAGTAGAGATGGATTGCTTAATAATTCAATTATAAAACGAGCTACATGTTTTTCTTTTAATAAAAACGCATGATTAACATCTTGCGATTAAAATCTTGAACGATGAAAGATATATGTTGACGCTATTGAGTGTTAATTATCTATGTTCCATTAAATTATGCATTGGTAATAAATCGATTGAGCTACGACAATCTCATTTCGCAGCAAAAAGCGGCTGAGAGTGTCGGAAAGTTTCCAAAGAAGTGAAAACGTGATCTATTCGATTCAATCGCTATTAGTAGATTATCGACGTAGAAGTTTTAAGTAATTGAACTGATCTGGCTTTTCTTAGTTAGAAGAATTTTTCTGTCGGAACTCGAATAATTATGTCCCTTGTACAGATATCTAAAGACTTATGCTACAACGCATTTTTCTATAGTATACTCTTGCATAAAAAAAATTCGCAATTTATTTTTAACTCTTCCGTCAATATATAATTTTTCCTCTTTCATTACTACACGAATATAGGTAACGACTGCGCATTTTTGCAATATTGTAACGCAATAATTCCTTTATAATAGCTGCTGGGCATCAAACCTATTCTTTCCCGTTATTTTTCATATTTTCGAATACAAAGGTTCTTTGTATTTTTTTTTCGGGCGTATAAAAGTTTCAACATATAAAATGGTTTTAGTTTTAACATTGAAAACTGCTTCGACTACCCGGATAAATTAATAAAAGAGTTAGTTCGCATTTGATGAGTTTCACGTTCTCGAAAAGTAGCTTGAAATTGCGCTCTTAAATTGTCAATTAAATTTCGCAAAATATTACTAAATATACAGGGTGTGTAAAATAAAAATAGGGGTTCGAAGTCCACATTTTTGGTCTCACCCTGCACAATCAAGATTCCAAAGATCTCGAAGAGCTTTAATTAGCAACGCACAACACGAATTGCATAATAAGTTTTTGCGTGAGTACTTACAAGTACGAGTCCTCCTGATCCCACGATACTATCTCCGTCACGACGAAGTGGCCGGATGTGAGGGCGGTGGTGGTCGGATTGCCGCTGGTTGCATTTGTAACGAGCACAATGTGTCGCCAATTGCCCCGGTCCTTCTGTTTCTGGGGTAATATCAGGAGAAAGGATGTACCGTCCTTGCTGAACATAGGCGCCTCGAACTGCTCCACCCAGCCATTTTTCTCGCTGTACGAGAGCGCCTGCGAGCAATCGGGGATTTCTCCATTAGTAAAATGGAGTGTTCTGTAGAAATCGGGCCTCTGTTCGTAAAGAGGAATTAAAATTTTCGCGAATAGAGTCGATCGCGCAGAATCGATTCTAATTAATATTTTCATATATTGAAGAAAGGTTGTTTTGCTCGACATTTTTATATTGAATTAATCCAAAAAGAGGAAGGAACCTATTTGTTTTCTTCCTCTGATCGGGGTGTCTGGCGGTCAGGGAAATCTGGAAAACCGGGCGTTGTCAGGGAATTTTATAAATCTGGAATTGTCAGGGAAAATACTATTTATCTGGATTTATTCCACATTTGTCTCAATAATTTGAAATTTTTTATTAAATAAATCTAAACTTTTCCTCGACTCCCACGCTAATTTTTTGTTGTTAAAAATCTACAGCGTGTTCGATTAATTTATATTTTCATCGTCGTGCTATTTTATTTCAATGTGTTTGATAGAGACAAATCTCAAAAATTTGATATTTTGTTTTATTAACTTCCGAAAATATCTCATATAGGATTTCATGATTTAACATTTAACTGATTTATCATATGGATATATGCAAATTATATATTTGGAAAAAATAATACTAAAAAGTCAGAGAATTTTTTTACTTCTTCTATATATGTTTCTCGATCTAACAACTCAAACATTGTCAACATAAAAAATATTTTTCACGAGATAGAGCTTTTATAATATGATATTTAATCGATTTGCTTGAAGTTACAAAATAAGATTAAAAAATAAAATAAAGAGCTGTGAGGTTTCGAGAAATAAAAAGAGCGGAGTCTCCTTCCGCAAGGCGAACTGTCGAATGAGCCAAAAACTAGTAGCAAGATCGCTTTCTCGATGAGAGAAGAGAAGGTTCACTTACTATCGTGCAATTTGGCAGCAGACTGTCGACGTCGCAGAGCTGGAAATACGCCCTGTTCTGCACACGATTCATCCAAGTCGCGTACACGAGACTGTCCGTAGGGAAGTCCACCGCCGACAGAATCCTCTCGGTGGTAGACAGCTCGGAGGGATACTCGATCTCCATCAGGGTCACGTTATTACCTTGCACCACCATATCGAGATCGACGCAAAACAATTTGATCGTCGGATTCGTCGTGCCACTCTGAAAAACGAGAGAAAACACTCTTGTAAGATACAATGGCACGTCGGTGCCAATAAGATACGTGTGCGAGATAGGTGTTCGAAGCCATTTTCAAATGAAAAATGCAAGGCAGTTGAAACCTTTTCATTTGAAAATGAAAAATAGACGCTTCGCATTTTATATTTTTATTTTAAATGCATCTATTTTACATTTATCGATAAAAAAGAGTTGATGATTCTGGTCCAAAGTGAAATTAATTCACCGAGAATATATTTTTCATCATGTTCGATATATTGCTTTTTTTATATTGGGTTGATTCATAAATGAGCACACTGAATTTTTATATTTATGATATAATTTAGAATCGAAAGATTAAAAGTTTTCTTTAGCTATTTTATTTGATAATTTTCGATACTTTGACCACGAACATAAAGTTTTTCGCGAAACGTTACATGTAAATTTGTATATATTAAAAAAAAATACAATTTTCTTTCTTGTAAAATGCGTGAAGTTGTTGTTTGCAAGGTTGTTTACGCGAGAATGTTTTAATGAAATTGAAAACATAAATCTTCGATTCTCTGTTCGCCGTATAACTGTACCTTTACCTGATTACTTTAAGTGCATCTGAAAACCTGAATCTTAATACCGAAAGTTTTAATGACAATCTTGTTTAATACGAGGAAACGCGAGGCACTAATTGCTGTTCGCAAGTATTTATACGTTTGTACGACTTCACGGAAGAGATATTCCACTAAAACATTAATTCGCCGACGAGTAAAATTGGTCTCGTGCTTTATTAAAAAGTAACGCGATGCCCCGCTCGCGAGTCGTGGTTGTCTTGAGCTGTTTGTACGCAATTTAAGTGAGATCCTTGATTACGCTTCAGTAAATTATAAAACTTTTTCGTTTTCACACATACAAACACACACACACCCTAACTTTCAGCAAAACAGCGGCAAGTTCTATCAATGACCGAAAGAAACATTTCAATTATGATAAACTTTATAGGTACTGGAAAAACAAACTTAACGTAATTAAATTCGCGACACAAAGTTCCATAAACATTTAGTCGTTATCGTTATAAAATCTCGTATTGCATATAATTCTTATTTCAGAATTTTGCACTTCACACAATATCTATTTTATATTATTTACTTTTATTATTTATATATGAACCAATATTATATTATAAATAATAATTTATTTTGTGTAGTGAGAAATATATATTAAATATATTTAATTATTATATAAATAATTAAAATTTTATATATATATATATATATATATATATATCCATTAAATAAACATTATTGTTTCTTTTTAATTAATACATAAAAAATAAAATAATACACTAATATTGTATAATATATGTCAATGTATTATTTTATCGTATATTAATGTGTACTAATTAAAAAGAAAAGAATAAGGTCATACTTGGATAGAATGAAGAAATTTTTAAATTCGATGCAAATTTCGTATATTCGTATTAATGCCTTTGTCGATAATATTGGCATTTTCCAAATGGCGCAAATTTATGTTACGAGCTATTTCGACTGCATAACGACCTATTTGCGAGTCGTAAAATCAAATTATTCGAGTCTCTCGAATATATTTGCATTCTATTATAATTTCGCGGAATATGAAATTCCGCGGACGAGTACGAATATTTACAAAACGCAAGCTCATTCTTTTTCGTATAATACATTTCTTTAACTGGAATTAATGTTTATACGGCGATTTCCATTTACAATATATACGGCGGCATCGAGTTATCGCGAAAAACGGAACGGAAGAACACAAATGACCAAATAAATAAAGTTTAGCTCTATTAATAAAGTATATTTCCCTGAAGCACGAGCTCTCTTTTAGAGCACAATAAAGTCTCAAACGGAAGAAATCCGGATAAATGTACAATTAGTAAGAGTAGAGTGCGCTCTCAATTTTTCTTCACCGCGGAAATAAGACGAAAAATAGCGGTTTTGCACGTCAAGCGAAATGAGTCACTCGGAACTGACGAGATCGTGACTTTAATCCATCCAAGAGGTCTGGGAGTTTATGCAGTTATACAGAATGGCGCTTCTATTCTAAGAGACGACAACAGTGGCACTCCGGAATAAAACTGCACGTCAAACTTTGAATTCTATTGCGCTCCTGGAAGAGAAATCGATCTCGCGGCGAACTTTATTCGGATATATAAGCGACGGCAAAAAGATATCGGAGTGTATTTGTCATAATCCTGCAGTTTCCATTTCGCGTTCGAGCAATTTTTCGCGCACGGTGTATCGCAGAAATTTAATGAAACAATTTTTATAGAAATTATTTCATATAGATATGATATAAGATCATCGTCGAAATAACAAAATTTTGAAATGTCTATGATGCAATCAACAAAATGATAATTTCTATGATTTATAATACACAATATTTCATTTAAGAATGATAGTTTGCACTCAAAATATATTTTATATTATTTATCTTCAGACTAATAAAGACAGAGTTAAACTTTGTCAATGAATGAAAAACAGCGAAAAAAAAAAAAAAAAAACACTTATGCGCGCAAGTAGAAATGTTTTCTCGATATTAGACGTCATCTTTCCGACTTATTTGCTTGTCTAGTCCTGTAGGCGAGCAATTTTCCATCTCACGGTTCGTCGTTCGAAGACAAAGATGTCACGCGAAAGGTTGAATCAACGGCGGATATTTTTCACGTCGCGCCAAGACTTTTTGCGGCTACGTCAATCGCGAGTTATGAAAAGACATTGAAAAATGCAGAGGTGCCACGTTCACGCTCCTCTTATCTTTTCAGGATGTAAACTTCGGTTAGAGGGGCTTTTCATATCTCGGACGACGGCGCCGCGACGCGAAGATTCGCGAGAAGACAAAGTAAAGGAGACGTTTTCCGAGAGCGTCCAACATTGGAATCGCTGCTTTTTAAAAGTGACATTATGCTCGCTTGCCGCGAAAATTTTAGTTTTCCTCCGAAAGCGCGCGCCAACGTTTCTTCTTTCGCGCGCGGAAGATTAAAAACAACGAACGTTAAATATGCTGTTGACATGTAAATCGCGAATATATATAATCTACGAAATAAAATTATGTAGCGGGAAATATTTTTTTATCATTTATAATGAAAACAATGGAGAACAGTGATATAATATAAGATTAATATTTACTTTAACTCTTACCTTAGGATAGTGGATTGGTATCGCCGAGGTGTATTGGAAAGTTAAGCTTCCGGGATATCCGTAAAACGGTATGGTCATAATGGGAGTATTTGAGTCGTCGAAATAGCCGAAGACTAATTTGTTGCCGCTCGGAGAAAACCAAAGCGCCTTGTTCGAGCTGAATACTTCCTCTGTAACATCAAACAAAATCAAAAATTAAGTGACAAATTATTCAATTTTTCTTCGGTTTTACATTATATATTTATACAAGCAAGATTTCAATTTTTTCTATTAATATTTAAAATTGTTTGCAATAATATTACTGAAATAGATATGTATAAATTCTCTAATAAGAGAGTATAATATATCTCTCCATATAATAACATAATTATCTAATAATATATAATTATCTAATAATTACTTCTAATTATTACACCATTATTTATGATTATTAGATAATTATTTATAATGATTTGTTATAATTATTATAATTTATATTTATAATTTTTTTATTATTAGTGCATCTCTATACGTAATGATAAATAATTATAAATAATTACACTAGACATATACACTAATAATAAATTATAATAAAATTCCCATCTAAAATAATTTTATTGCTAGATCCAAAGTGAGTTCTCACGAGAAAAAATATATTTCCCATTTAATCTCACAAACCAGTATATCTCGTCTGCGTCAAAGTGCATCCTCAACTGCACACCTACGTGTACAGATATAAATAAGGCGCGAAAAAAGGCTCACAGAGCACCCTCTCACTTTTTTCATCCCGTCTCTTTTAAAAAAAAACAAAATCGCCAATAAAAACTGCAACGGGGAAATTATCATGAATATACATATATCTTCTCATCGGCTTTACTGTTCACGTTATACTTTTTTTTTTTCACGAGATACTCGTTAGATCTCGCGACGTTGTGCGAAGCGAGAAAATTACGACGACCGTTTCGTTCCTCCTGTAAAGGCGAAGTTCACAAGCGAGGTTCATCGCGGAGCATTCCACCGTAACGTATAATTATAGATCATAGAATATGTATCTCGAGACACGGAGAGAGAGATATATATATATATCTCATCCCTTTTCCCCTTTTATTTTGATAAATAAAGCGTGAACGAGAAGAAGGAAGAGATTCCTTCTCATTTGATATTGGTACTCTCTTGTGTATTTTACTCCGTTTCTGCAACCTCTGACATAATAACCAATCTGATCTATGACTCGTTATATACAGGATAGTCCTTGTAAAGATCGCAAACTGTTTAAAACACTTACACTGAGAAAATTTGTTGACTTGACGGAACCTTTCAACTTAATATTATTTTGTTAATTGAACTTATACAAATATTTAAATTAAATACAACGTATTAAATTGAACAAAACGTATATTTGATTTAAATAACTAATATATGTTGATTTAACAAAATAGTAATTTACGATAAGAAGATGTCATCAATAGAAAAGTGATTTCTAATAATAAATTGGCTAAATCATCGTTTTTGTTTGATAAAAAAGCAAGATTGTCTTTTTTAAAATAAAACTACCATGTTTTTTTACAGTAATGTAGACGATAAACAAATTTAACAAATACACGCAATATCATTTTAAATTACATTAACCATTTTAAATTTGCTCAATTGTTTGTTATCGAGGAAGTTCATTAGCAATATGTATAGTAAACAGACTCTTAAGCTTATGTTATCTATAATACCTAGTTCATTAATCTACTAAACTTAGTAGTAACTCAGTTTATCGTGTGTCTGATGTCATGAATCGCTATTGTAAATTAGAAAAGTCAGACATGTTATTAGCGTTTGGTTAAAATAATCAAAATACTCAACTTAATCAGAGGGATGAAAATGAAGAATATAATCCAAGTGAGATCAAAATAATGATAAATATTCATTTAATTCTTCAGTAATGACTTTAAGATCGAATACAAGAATATTATGCAATATTATAGGGATATAAATAAAGAATATAATCCAAGTGAGATCAAAATAATGATAAATATTCATTTAATTCTTCAGTAATGACTTTAAGATCGAATACAAGAATATTATGTAATATTATATTATGCAATATTATAGGGATAAAAATGAAGAATATAATCCAAGTGAGATCAAAATAATGATAAATATTCATTTAATTCTTCAGTAATGACTAAGATCGAATACAAGAATATTATGTAATATCATATTCGCTACTCTGCAATATTTCGTTATTCTGTAGTCCCTCGTTACAAGACAAACGACAAGATGATTAACATCGTTTTTCGAGGCGGTAATGAGCCAGGAAGAAAGTAAGGGCTCCCCTGCTGTGAATTTTCTCTCGCCAGTCAATTCGCGTCTCGATAAACAAAGCGTCAAACGCTCGGAAAGGATCTTTAGTCAGCTTAGTGGCTAATGCCACTTTTTCCCCACACGTTACAAATAAGGAGAGTCTGACAAAGGGAGGCCGCTCCTCATCCCCTGGTGTCGGACTCGAAGGAAAATCGCTGATGTAATAAGCACCCCTAGTTCATAGAGTGTGCAGGAACATCGGAAAGGAGCCGAACGAGTTACGAGGGAGCCGAGCGGAAACTCTTTATTTCGTTTCCTCTCAAAAGAGGGGAAAACTGCGGCTCGCGAAGCGCACTAGGACGTAAATATCCAGTTTTCAAGCCGCGAGGAGCAAGAAAGAGAGAGAGAGAGAGGAGAGACAGTGGCGGATTAACCCTATGATGCATGTGCTCTGAAATAAAGGTTTGTAAAAGAAAAAAGAACGAAAGGGGAAAAATGACTGCGGGATATTTAATTTAGATATACCGTAGAAAGATGGTTCAAACAAGTATGAAAATTGCAGCGGAAGAAGATGAGATCTGATAAAGAAAAAAAAAAAAAAAATACAGACAATATCGCGTGTAAAGAAAAAAAGATAGTCGCGCTACCGAATGAAAGATCTTTCCTCAGACAATTTAAGATTAAAACATAAAATCTTCACGGTAGAAAATTTGTGCTTTCTTGTTCAAAATGATCTCCGTTAAAATTTTTGTGTTAAATAATTAACACATTCATGTGTTAATTTCACAGATTGCTGTTAATTAAACTTAAATTATTTGAAGTTTTGTGTTAAAATATTAACACAGTATTTCTATCTTCACCATATATGTATTATATTAAATTAACACAAATTTTTCGACCGTGTCCATATATCTTAAAGATCCCATCAGACATAAAGAATAAAAAGTAAGTTTATATGTTAAGGAGAGCCTAAAATACGAATTTTAAATTTAAAAAAAAAAAAAAAAAAAAAAAATAGTGCAGCGATTCCTCTTTCCGATTTCTTCAATTCTCCCATAATTTTTTCTGCTAATAAATGTTATACACACACACTGTTAATAAATCCGCTCTTGAGAGATGCAAAGCCCGAAAGATGGGACAAGTTAGCATATTTCGAGAACGTCGGCGAGAGCTTTGAGACCCCCGTTGGATCCGGCTCGTGACGTAGCTCGAGACGGGAAGAAGAAACGTGAGAGAAAGGAGGAGGAGCAAAAAAGCTCCGTCGCTGGCAAACCCGAAGGAGCAGAAGGTAACAAAGGGAAGAGAGAGAGAGAGAGAGAATGCCAAGAGGGAGGGAAGAAGAAACGAAGACGAAGAGGAAGGGAAACTGCACAAAGACGCGACGTTGCGTTGCGCAGCTCGCTGGACGTGACGAGGGAGAAAAATATCCCGAGGGTGAAATTCTCCGGACGTCTGTGTGTGTGTGTATCTGTGTATACACGAGTGGGTGTGCGTCGAGACTGCGACGACGTGGCGGGATAAGGAAGCGGCCGCATCTGAATGGCACGCGAAGGGAAAAACGAAGCCTGGACCGTTCTGGCGAACAAGTCCTGTCGAGCGCGACCGATAAATCCGGTTTGGCAGGTCCGCCGGCCAATTACTTACATCCGGTAGTGTCCATCTTGGAGTTCACTTTTTTACAACCCCCTCTCGCGCGCGATTTCATTCAGCTATAGGTATATATATATATATATATATATATACGTAAGTCCGAGTAATCTTCTCGATGGGCGGGTGGTTGCTTCCTATTTTAGATATACTTGGAAGGTTGTTTTAATAGGACGAAAGCGTGTTTAAAAAAGCGAGTATTAAAGGACATGAGAAATCGGGCATTATTTATTCAATTTTATCACAAACTTCTCGAAATGATTTTACAGCAGATGAACGAAAAAATTGCATTCTCCAATAAGAGAACTGTACATATTATAAAATTTCCTTGACAGATTAAATTTGCAAATAAATAACATTAAAATTAGAAAATTTAATAAATGAGAAATACTCTCTCAAAATAAGAAAATTTTTTCATTGAGCTATAGATATACATAAGTAAATCCGAATAATCTTCTCGATGGGTTGCTTTCTATTTTAGATGTACTGGGAAGATTGTTTTAATAGGACGAAAGCGTGTTTAATAAAAGCGAGTATTAAAGGACATGAGAAATCGGGCATTATTTATTCAATTTTTATCACAAACTTCTCGAGATGATTACAGCAGATGAACAAAAAAATTGCATTCTCCAATAAGAGAACTGTACATATTATAAAATTTCCTCTTGACAGATTAAATTTGCAAATAAATTGAAAATTTAATAAATGAGAAATACTCTCTCAAAATAAGAAAATTTTTTCATTGAGCTATAGATATACATAAGTAAATCCGAATAATCTTCTCGATGGGTTGCTTTCTATTTTAGATGTACTGGGAAGATAATAGGACGAAAGTGCGTTTAATAAAAGCGAGTATTAAAGGACATGAGAAATCGGGCATTATTTATTCAATTTTTATCACAAACTTCTCGAAATGATTACAGCAGATGAACAAAAAATTGCATTCTCCAATAAGAGAACTGTACATATTATAAAATTTCCTTGACAGATTAAATTTGCAAATAAATAAAATTAAAATTAGAAAATTTAATAAATGAGAAATACTCTCTCAAAATAAGAAAATTTTTTCATTGAGCTATAGATATACATAAGTAAATCCGAATAATCTTCTCGATGGGTTGCTTTCTATTTTAGATGTACTGGGAAGATTGTTTTAATAGGACGAAAGTGCGTTTAATAAAAGCGAGTATTAAAGGACATGAGAAATCGGGCATTATTTATTCAATTTTTATCACAAACTTCTCGAGATGAT